CCGGTGTGCAGTACTCTTTGAGGATTTGGAGGGTGGGGAAATTTTCCATTCATTTTGGCACGTGTGGTTCGGAGATGAGGCTACGTTGGTTGGGAAGGAAAACAAAGAATTGAAATGCCTGGGGGCGGTTTGCCCTTGCCTTGCCCAAAATACTCCATGAAATAGCGCATTGAGTTTCAAAGTACAAACATTTTGGTGAACGGATGATCGCCAAGACTGAGATTGGCAGTTCTTACTGTTGGTGCTAGGTGTTTTAACAGAACAAAAAATGACATGTTTGATAAACAAACAAATGACTTTAAGATATTGCAACAAAAAGTTTTAAACTAATGATTGAATTTTTGTTAACTTTTGTTAAGAGAAAATAAAAGTTAATATTAGTCTTCTTTGGACAATACCGTATCATTTCTGGTTTTGATACACAAAAAAGGAAATATTTTGCTTCATCATCTTATATTTACTGTTTACAAAAATGTGAATGTTTGAAAACACAAGAGTGATAATCTAATTACATTTCGAAAGTGAGGTGAAACTTTCTATAATTACACTTTCTCAACATGTAAGCAATGCCTGGGTGAAACCTTAATTTCTTTCAACATAAAGTTATAAAAACATTTTGCCAAATGAAAAAGTGACACATTAAAAGTTATTTGAAGTCAGTATCGTCACTTCATTGAATTGTGGATTTTATGGGGAAAATTGTCATGAAAACGTTAAAATAGAAGCATACAGGTATATTTTACCTGACATGCAATAAGTGTTTTTTAATTACTTGAAAACGAAGAATATAAAAATACTGGGTACTTTTGAAATGTGTGTCAATGGATGTATCGTGCATTCATAGTTTATTCGGTAGTACAGTTTTGCGATCATCATTTAAAAAATGCTCTGAAAAGGTCGGCAAAATAAAACCAAACCCCAAACCAGAAAATGCTTCCATTTGTTGCTATACTCTTCAGTTCGGTGTCTTGGAATTTGTATTTGGTTGACAATAGTTATTCTTAACGGGAATTTTCAATATCGAAAACAAGTAATTCGAACAAAAAAAAAACAGTACTTAAACTTTCAAAGAAATCAGTTGGATAATATAGTGAAATGGACATTTGAAGCGTGTTCAATTGCGTTTTGACAGAAAATATAGCTCCAGGATTTCCATTAATGATTTACATGCCCTTGCGGGACAAACAGATGAATTTTTAAGGCCTGCATAGCCTGGGAAGGCGTGGAGTAGTACAGTGCATCGAATTTGAGTCTGACACACGACAAGAGCCGTTGTGTGCCTGACATCACTCAAGTTTTAACCGCTCACATTCCATTATCCACTCACAGCCTCACAATCAGCACCAGGGGGGTGGGTCGATGTACACATCTGATGGTAATTTATAACTCTAGCTGTATAGAAAAATATGAACATATAGTTCATAGTTAGCCGCGCCTCTATATGGAACTTTGTGTTGAGTTTTGTTAATCTTAGATATTGTGCGTCCCTAGTCTGGCTCCCGGAGGACTGAGGACCCCCAACGACTCTTGATAAAATCTATTAAGTCACCCATCATCCACGGCTAAATGATTAATTAATGACGCAACATGTCATCATGGTAGCCAGAAGCCTAATTTGGGTCAC